ACTTACATATTTTTTTCCACCCCTCCTGTACTAGTTTAACGGAACCTTTACTCTCCGTGAAGTAAATGGCGTTTCGTAGACCGATCTGTTAAAAAAAACTATAAAACGCTGACCAGTAGACTAATGGAAATCTAAAAAATTTCGAATTTTCCGATCGCGTAAATTTGCGTCGATCTTCCGGCCACAATGGGCAATTATCGCGATAACGCGTGGTGCTAATTGCAAACAGGAACGATTCGCGACGGGAGAGCCGTACGGACAACCGTATTGGTCGACGAGAAGTAAATCAACCGTGAACGAGAACGTAACTAGATCCGAGAAAAATACAACGAGGAAAACTCCGGTAACGCCGATCAATGCGAGAACTTTTCGTAACCGTACGTCCCTGAATACGCTATCGTACGTCGAATTGGCAAACTTCGCGAGCTGATCCGCTCGTCGAACGAACTCCGATCCGAAACACTGTTCCGCCGACTACCCCATCGTTTTGGTAACCAGTTTTTTTTACCGATCAGATCGATCACTTACTAGAACCCTGCGTCTACCCGGTACACCAAGACCCCCCGTTTTATACTTGGTCAATTTCGCCGACACTTTAGACTGTTTCGATGTACAGTGACGAACAAGCTCAGATTCCGATAGGAAAAAACGCGGTGTAGGGGTAAGGGATTTCCTACAACTTCGTAAATTTATTTTAAGTGCTGAAGTAAATGATAAACCGAATGTTAATTTGGCATAAATTTCAGTAACTCCCGAGTATGGTAGGAAGCCCTTCCAATACTTCGCTTTTTCTCCTAGCGAAAGGTGAATTTGCTCGTCAGGAGAGACCAAACGTCGCGTACGATCGCCTTCTCGGCCGATACTCGGGGATTATCGTTGGTCTCGCCAGGGAATCTGTTGAACGACGATCCTTTGAAGCGAGGACAGGGATGGGGAATACCCGTTGTAAATATTTCACTCTAGTGATTTGACTACGAACAGCGAATCGTCGTTTTTTAGTGTACATTACTTTGTATCATAGCCTACGGAACGTTTAGCTAGACACTTTCGAGATCTCCGTACGAAAGGGAAGGAAGAACAGTCGCCGTTTTTGGGATTTATTTTTTTGTTTGTTTTTTCCTTCGATCAATTGGACCGTTCTATATCGCGTTCTGCCCGAGAGGGTTGAATCGCCGCGGACACGATACGGATATCGACGATCAGCTCGGAATAAAATTCATCGATCCTTTTAAAAAGTCTGGTAAATGATAATTCGTGTAGACTGGTAACTTTCTCAGTAGAATTCACTGTACACTGTAATTGATGTAAATCGAACGCTACTGAACAATCTGATATTATTCACAGTTGCAGAAGCAATATAATATTCTGTTAATTCTGGCCTGACTGTACTTGAATTTCTAGAGGAATTGCTTTTCGTTTCCGTATCGGTTCAGCTGAAATTCAATCCGAAATTCCTCGCATGTACCTGTAGCATTAAAAATCGATTCGCCGCGGAAAAGACCACGCAGCATTCGCACAAGATCTTCCGTTAACGAGAGAAACAAATTTATAGGAGAAGAGAGAGAAAAACGTGACCGAGAGAGAATATTGTGTCAGTGTGTAGGAGAGAGAGTGTGTGTGAAAGCTTCTTGAGAAACGAATGGAACCGAAAATCCACCCTTCTATTACGACAGTGTGCCAACGAACCCCCCTTCATATTCCGAGTATAGCCATCATCGACTATCCGCGTTTCTCGTTCCCTTCGACGCCTCCGAGCCGCTCGAGACTACCACGAAATCGGTGATGAAATCAATGGAATTCGTGACTGTCCAACCCGGTTTAAATAATGAAAAGAGCAAAATGTAACTGGTTAAAATTACAGAAATTAGAATAACGATAGATCGATAGGTACGTTTACGAATGGTCGCGAATTTCCTTGATCCTAAATACCGCGAGAATGTTAAGTACAAAGGAAAAATATGAAAAGAGAGAGAAAGAGAGAGAGATTTTTCAATGTTTTCTGCGTCGCGGCAGTCGATAGATATTAACGCGTGCCCTTATCAACGTTTTCGTATACGCGCGATAGTTCTGCCTTTTCGTGTCCTTCTTTCCCAACCCTCCAACCCCTTCACTCATCCGAATTTCGATGTTTTTTTTGTTCTAAATTATCATTATCGACTTCTTTTTCACGCCCTGAGGACTTGATTTCACCAGACGAGACACGTTCCTTTTCTTTCATTCTCGCGCCGGAAACGAACATGACGAAAAAAAAAAAAGAAAAGAAAAGATACGACGAGACCAAAGAAATGTTTATTTTAATGTTGTGTATATTAATTGAGTTTATGTCGTGTAAGTCGATGCATTTATCCGTGCGTTACACCCGAGTGCTTTAATTATTTTTTTTTTTTCTTTTAATTCTTATCATTATAAGCATATGCGTCTATATGTATAACGTGCCGACACACGTCTCTTTTAGATAAGTTTCTGTTGTGTAATCAATCGCGTTCGACCGGCGGAATCTTTTATACTTAAGGTGTACATTTCGTTTTTACTCGATTTAATCATCCATCAGACATCATCATATTATTATTATTATTATTATTATTTATAGTTAATTGGTTTACGTGCTAATTATTAAGCAGCCAGTGCCGTTTATTTTGTATCTCTCGTACAGTGTAATGTGTATCACCGCAGTTAACATATTTTATTAAAACTTTGCCATATAATAGCCCCCGCAGTCTCACGTTATCCACCCCCTACCCCCTTCATTAATTTTTTGCCCATTGCCCTAGAAGCACGCACATCCTCTACAGCAATCATCGCAGTCAGAATGTCCTTTCTCGCATCCTATCGTTTCGCGAAACAACAAAGTCAATCATTGAAACGAACCCCGCGGGACTTTGTATTCGCGTCCCGGTTTCAGTTTCTATTTTAAAGCGATTTTCAGGAACGAAAAGGGAAGAACGCCAACAGAAAATCTTTTGACGCGCGGCAATAGAACGAGGGAACAAGTGGTTCGGACGCGCCGAAATATTGCAGCGTGTTCAGAAATATCGTGCAGCATCGAATCATTTCGCGTGTCTCTGTGCGCACTGCCGCTTCAAAGCCGAACCCCCCGTGCATCGTATTTCCGCTTTCGTAGCCCCGTAAATGCACACGAGCTGCCGCATCCTCTCGCGAACGTGTACAGTCTCTGTCCGTGCATTCCGCGTGCGGAACATGCCAGGCGGCAGCGCGCGATTTTTCATTCGCGACTAGTGATTGGTTCGTAAACTGTTCATACATGTTTGGACTTTTGACGAGAAGTTTGAACTATCTAAACTTTTCGTGCTCGTCTAAGCCCAAACGTGTTTGGATCTATTTTGTCGTGGACTTATCGCTATGATCGCCATCTTCCGGGGTAATTCGAAACAAAGAGATCGTTGCCGATCACACGAAACCCTATGAGGTGTTCTCCAGGGAACCGAAACCGAAACGCATAATCGATTACATTACGGTTTCCGGCCCGATATTAACGACCTGAATCGCGGGAAAATCGAGATTCGTTATATTGCAATATGTGCCTGTAAATCTGCTGCATTACATGGATTGTATATATATGTAATGGGAAATTTGATTGTTTCTGTTAATGTTAATGGTGATCGTAATTATTATAAACGAAAAACAGATGGTAACTGTACGCATTTCGGTCTCGGATCCCTAGTGTTCTCTTCGTTTTTCCAATTTCTCTCGAAGATTGAACATCCTTCTGTCTCGGCGATCCTTTTCCGGACGATCTTGGCGTGGCGACGATTGATTTTTCTCGTAAATTGTAAACAATATTCGAGGCAACTCTTCTGGGTCTTGCAACACCCATGAAATCGCGGTTCGAGCTATTTTAATGGCTTCGTCTCTCACGCCGGAAACCGCTGCAAGGCTCAGAAACCCCGTCACTTCTTCCGTTTACTTGTTTAATCGGCGAGCGACTTTTGTCCTAGCCGATAGTCCGCCGTGTTACGGGCAAGGATCGACTGTCTCTTCACCTCGAGGGATATAAAATAGATTATTTCACATAGCACACAGTTCAATAAACTGTAACAAAAGCAATGAAAGAAAATAATGCTATTTTTATATGTTGCATCGTCTGCTGTGGTGACCTATAGTTGTACGAACTATGTACTCGCGTTCTATTTTCCCCTACTTTTCATTCGTCTACCGATTAGGCAATTCCGTGTCACGTGGTTGATTTCTTTTACAGAGGGTGTTCGAAACGCGTTCACACGTGTGGATCATGACGGACGTTCCATCGACGGACCCGTTTCTTTGAGTCCGACCCGATATTCGTGTCGTACGACGAAAGATATTGATATATCGTATTTTTTTATACTCGTTACACCAAGTTACTATACGTTCGAGTGGTGTCGTCAGAAATTGTGAGAAGCATTCTCGTATAATTTTGACGAGATATGTCCCAATAATAATTAATATCGTCAACATTAGCAGCTTAGGAGTAAACGACGAGAAATATTTCTGAAGATGATCCAAAGGATGCTCTTGCTCACAATTGATCTAGATTACTACATTAAGATTTACTATTATTGTATTATTATTACTATATCTACATTCCTTTTAAGAATCTACCACTATTACTTTACGAAACCATCTGTAAATAAGTATTTTGTATTCCTGCAAGAATAAAATTAAGAATCATTAAATCGTTACTTTATTGTTCCCAACGCTGTGATTGGCACTGACAAATATGTAAGAGACGAGTGGCTGATAATTAAGAATCCAGGAAGCTTCAAGAATTTGTTTAGTATGTAATTTTATGTTTTTTTTTAAAGAAATATTGCATAGAGAAAAGTATTACATTTTTTTCACTAAACTTTATTCAGCGATCATCTGTTGAAATGATTACAGTGAATCAATTATGTATTTTTGAACTGAAAGATATAACTGATTATACATACAGATAAACACTAATTATAATGATTTCAATTTAAAGATGCAATACTAAGTCGAATGTATGCTTTAGTATTTTTCTAATATTTATAATATATAATAATGTCATTTAAGACTTTAACGTTTACAACGAAAAATAATAAACTAGAAAGCCAAATATATGTAAAAGTATTTAATCCCTGAAATTCTAACAGGTAAGCAAACAATAACCAAAGACCTTGACTTAAAATCCAAATAGAACCTAGACATAATGATCTCTTGATACTCATTCTGACATTTGGGAGACACAATGGTAAAAGAGATAGATACCAGAAAAAGTACTGTGATGTTAACACTGAATTATATATTACCATTACCATAGCTTGTGTGAACATTGCAAATGGCAAGTCCGACTTTCTTGAGTATTTATAAGACAATGTCAGTAGCAATATTAACTGTGGTAGAAATGTAAAAATTTTCTGAATTATGCTAGGTGGATGGTTAGCAGATAAATAAAGCATGTAGAAATAAACAGAAAAATTATGCTTGGTATCTTTACGAATCACATGATAAATAAAGCTTTCATAAAGATACTTATAACCATAAAAATAGTAATTTACAATAGTTAATAGAATTATTAAAGATACACAACTTAATACTAATTTAAATTGATTTTTGTTTGGCACCAAATTTCCCTTATTGAGAGACAAATACATAGATAAACTGAACACAATAGGATAAAGTCTAAAATGAATTGAAACAGCATGCACTAAACCTGTTAAAATATATTTATCACGTAGAAATGAATCCAAAGTTAGCATAACTAAAACAACAGCCACCGAATCTGCATTTCCTCTAGTTGAAATAATAATAGTAAATGGATTATATAACCATATCAACGCGCAAATGTCTTTCACTTTGTTGTTGCAACTTTGCAATGTCAAAATTCGTTTTATTAAAATCCCTATAAGTATATCAACGCAAGAGAATAAAATTTTCCCAAAATTTTCATGGAATAGGATATTTGGTGTCATAAGCAAAGCTAGTAGTGGTGTATAGCGGTATGTATCACGCTCAAATGGAGACTTTCCTTCTACCATGTATCTTGCTGCATCAGTAAACACTTTATAATCCACATCTGTGTATAGAACATTGAAACTTTTATCGTGGAAATTGGAGTAAACTACTAAAGTTATCCTAAACAAAAAGGCCACTATACAATGTGACTTAAATGACAATATATCCATTTTAACATATAACCTATATTTCCTATAACAGCTAAAATTAATTTTGTAAGAATGTATAATTTACGGTTATTCTATTCTTTATAACCTTGTATTATGTTTTGCAGCAGCTTTCATTAAGCATGTTTTAAATGCATTAAATTCGCTGTCACAATCATTCTTTTGTAAATTAGACTTTGCTACTACACATGCTGCATACTTGGCTCCAGTTTCATGGCACTGAGCAACCAAAACTGGATATTTTCTTAATCGTTCTTTTGCTTTTTTCACTGCTTCCATATTTTCGGCATTAATCCATTACATTATTGTGTACATAGTAGTACATATATTTACTACATATTAATACAATCCTTCTTATGACAATGTATTAAGTCATATTTACTGTGGTTTAGGAGGAATTCGTTTTATTAAATAGGCTGAATAAGAGAAGTAGAGTATAGCTGCAGCATGCACATACCACTTTGACTTAACCTTTGCCATCTCCGTTACTTTTGTGCTTTCCTCTGTAGGGATGTACAATACAGAAACTTTCTGTACTTACATAATCTACGGTGTTGTGTTCGTAAGGCTTAGAGGTATCTATACCGTCACATACAGTTGAATTCTGCTTATGTATAATGCAACACTGTCGTATTTCTTCAATAATAGATTGACAACGTGATGGTTGATAGATGTTGTCTGAAATTAAACGTATAAAGTATTAACCTCAATAGTGGTAAGGGTTAGTCAATAAAATGCACGACAATATTACGAACACCTACATGGAAAATCACAAACCTTTTAGACACTGTTGTAGTTTGCATGCAAACTTTTTACAGGGATCGGTAGTTGTCATACAAAACAATATGTATTTTTGAGTTTTAAAGTCAGTACAAGACAAGACTTACATAATCAAAACGCCATCTGAGCAACGAAGCCAATACCAGCCAATACGATTGGAGCACTGTATGAGCCGCACCACACCGTACTATTCAGTACTATTTCCTGTTATTTCCAACGGAAAGTACCATCGGATCTTAACTCTGTTGTTTCATGTAATTTGTAATGTTCATAGTACAAATGAATACTTGTTATATAAAACTTGTTATTCTTTTACATCATATGACAAATGAAAAATAGGATATTCTATGTAAGTACATATGTATGAAAGTAGTGGTGCCAGAAATAATCTCTGACTGTTTGCACGATCGGTATTCTAGAACATGAGACACAAAGTCCCATAAGATGATAAGTCTATTTTCTATCTCGTCTGTGCTTATACCTTGCTTTGAAATAAAGCGTAATTAAAATGCTGTTACCAAAAGTGTTATTTTTCTATTAAGATATGTGTTACAATCGAATTGTTTGGTTGACTTATTGCAGTTATCATTTTTGTGTCTATCCCTACTAAGAAAAATGCTGAACAGATTTAAATTAGCATTATTAAATGCTGTGGGTACAAGTGAGCTTGGCCTACAATATCCAAATGATTCAGACACTGATACTTTAACAGATTATATCAATGCAAACATTATCACGGAAATAGAAAATAAACCATATAGTCGACCTAGTTTTCTAGGACTAACTACAGAAGAAACTCAAGTACGTAATTTGAAGTGCGATAATTATTACAGTTGCGATAATTATCCAGTGAGAAAAATCGTATTTAACGTTATAAAATGAATAATAAATAATGGTCTTAATGCCTGACTTTTTACACTATCGGTATTTCAGAACATGAGACACGAAGTCCCATAAGATGTTATGTCTATCCTATACCTAGTCGGTGCTAATACATATTCCGGGCCACTATTCTTCGGTCGATCTCTATATTATGAGAACAGTGAATTCGGGAATTACTTTCAACCCACTCGCCTAGTAAATACATATCCGTGTGTCATTCTATCCACTCATGAAGCTAGCTATTACAGACATACCTATATACATACATATGTACATATGGTAAAGACGAATTGTGATTTACTCTGCAGTACCTTGTCAAGGGAGTGGAAAAATGTTTTCATTAGTTCGTGTACTCTTATGATAGATGTCACTATATGACAGAATTCTGTAGCGCTCTTGCCACGCGGGTTCAGATGATATATTATGAAAATTCAGAAGTAATTAAACTATTGTTTGCTTAAATTTGAGATATAATATTTACAAATATTTGGAAATATCTATAAATATCTGAAAATGTCTACAAAATATGTATAAACCTTAATACTTAAGATTTACAAGCTATAGCATACAAACTTAAAATGAGTGTCTGAATAAAATAATGGAATACAAAGTGGCCTAATTACGGACAATTTACTACATAAACCTTAAAGCTAATCATTAACTCTATAGAATTTTGAAACTATCTTCTAATTTCTTAAGCAGAATAACTTCAATATCTGTATTTCTTGTAAAAATGGCTGTGTATTATATAAGTTGCAGACAAAAACCAGTAACGAAGTATACTCAGTTTTAATTAATTGTTGATATCATATCATCAGAAAAATTTTAAAAAATAGCAGTGATAGACGATTTTTGAAAGTAGTTTATAATTCTCGTTCAAAATTATTTAAGAACTTTGTTTTAAGGCATAAATAGCAACAGGTTTCTGTGATGCAGGTACATATTATTCGATTTTCCTTTATCTTTGCTTAAATTTTTGATGCCAGATTATAATTACGCATAAGATATTACTTACTGTAAAATGATATTCAATTTTTTTTCTGAAAAATGATTTTGCAAATATTCCAGGTAGATTTTGCAAAAGGAACACGGGTTTTGGTTTTTAATTTTAAAGTAACTTCAGAAACATATTTTTTTAATCACAAATAAGTAGTGTTTATTAAATGCCAATCAAATCAGTGCATTATAATGTTAAACTGTTGTTCTTGAGTTTAGTTCATTTTGCTCTGGATCCAGGGCACGAAAGAGGATACTCTGGTGAAGACATCGGGGTATCCAATACCACATGGGCGACCGAAGGAAACAATACCGATTTGGATACCACCGCCGACAAGGGGACCGCCAGAATCACCCTGAAACAAAGAAAATGGGATTCAGTAAAACATTTAGTAATCAACTTCCGTTTGTACAAAAAATTACGCTGCTGAAAATCATTAACTCTTCTATCCTAATTAAACTCAAACCTTTGTATTAACATGTGATATCAGCACAGTAATGAAATAAAAAAAGTTATTCTAATAAGTGATGATTAGTAGTTGTCATTAGTTTAATGACTTAAAGTAATGAACATTGATATTATGTTGCAAGTGGAATAATTATCAGTAAATATTTTGTTATTTATGGTATATATCATTCGAAGGATCAGTATTGCTTTGGTACCTATCGAGACAAAGCATGAGACTTACGTGGCATGCTCCTTCACCGGATTTCGTGAACGTGCAGACTTGGGACGCTTGCACGTTCCAGTGGACCAGCTTGCATTTGCTCTGAGAGTAAACATGCAAGTCAATTTCCTGTAAGTTGTTGGGTATCTGTCCTCCATTCTGCAAACGAAAGAAACAGTGAATGCATTGCTTTTCTCCATGAATAAGCATGAGCGATGTTTTGCGTGGTGTATTTTATATCCTCCATATTAATACCAAATTAATCAAATAGGTAAGTAATTTTTTTTCCCCTTTAATAGACTAACATTTGAGTTTAACTTTTTTATTCCGAATTCATCAATGATTAATTTGTGTATATAAATCTATCTTGTAGTAGTAGGAATTGATTGCATAATTAGTTTGATCTAGTTGAAGGCTATTACTAACCCTAGTGGTTCCCCATCCAGACAAGGTAACAGTTCCTCCTTCTGGGACGTCAGAGGTGGCCAGCTTGATTGGTTGAATCAAGTCAGTGAAATGGATATCAGCATTAAGGCGAATCACAGCAATATCGTTAGCGATCGTTACTGAGTTGTATTTAGGGTGAGAATCAACTTTTTCCACTCCGTAAGAAACTCCGCCCGATTTCAGTTGATTGGTTCCAACCTGGACAGTTACGGCCTTAAGGTTCCTCAATCTGTAAAAATTTATTTCTTCGATGTAGAGTCATTTATAATCCCACACAAAGAAATCCGTTTATACCGTGATAACTATTGGAACAGTTTACTATAAAAAACTACGTCAAACAAAATGATTTTACGAAATTTAATTATTTCACGAAAACGAACGTTAATTCACCTCATATAAGTTCGAAAGCGCATGAAAGGAAACTTACGTCAGTCTCGGAACATATGTAATTAAATTTGGTCTATTGTATACTCTCGGTACCAATAAATAATTATCAGAAAAATTTGTATACTCGTATCTACGATGTAAGTAACTCATAAACTTCAGCAAACTTTCAGTTCACTATTCACGTAACTGAGAATTTGAATTTTTGCTTTAAATATATATTATGAAAAATTAATATTCGATTGTTTATATAGGGAAAATGTTTTAAGAAACTTACCCTGCGACGCAGTGAGCCGCGGTAAGGATGGTACGTGAGTTAATGATTGATCCACCGCAGAAGTGATTTCCATTTTGTCGGAGCGATACTTGGTACGGGAACTTGCCGACCGGGGCATCGCGACCACCGACAATCTGGCCTTCGGGGAAGCCTGATTTTCAAAGAATCAGTTATTAATCTTCTGCATATCCTTACACTGTTCTTCAGTAATTATTCACTATTATACCTTTCTATTTTACATCACTCAAAAATGCATTACTATTCTAGAAAAATCGTTCACAAGGAGACTGAACTGTGAAGATTATAATAATATATACTACTTTCTTAGATCTGACGGTTAAAATTTGTACTAGTCATGAAAAGGAATGAACATTTGTAAATTTTAGGGTAGATAAAAATTTGAGACTCCCAACGTCACATTGAAAGCAAAATGATTATTGTCGACGGAACCAAGTCAATCTTTATGTTCACATGTCATGGTCAGTGTCCTTCTTTTTCTTCTTAAATATTGTTAAATTGATGTATTTGCAATTGTAATCACTTACCGTATACGGCAACCGCCAGGCACAGCACGAGGATCGTTGGAGTGTACATTATGGCAAGAATCGGAATACTACAACTGGCAGCTGTGAATCAATTTATATACCCGCCGAGGGTATATGTTGCGTCGATAAGGATGAACAAAATATTAGATTTTTATCAACGACGTCAATAAGCATCGGTTACAAAGAGTGATGCTCTTGATATTTGAAAATTCAGATGCTTTGATTGCAAAGATAAGTCAGATTTTGTAATCGTGTATCAGATTCTTTCTTTTCTTTTTTTTTTTTTACAAAGAGGAAGCATTTAATCCGATAACGGGTACGGGCTCTTGTATAGACGATGTGTGCGAGAATTTCAAATTAATAGTACGTGGCGATCAATTGAACTTCGATAATACAATCTTTTAATTATGACCACCTCTGAAGTGCCCACTATCGATTGTTGAATCAAGATTTGTGGGTATGCGATTAAAGACCATTCATTCGGTATTACGAGCATTAAAAAAACCGATGTCTATAATTGTTTTTGTGTACAAATAATATTTGGGTATTCTACTTGTGGTCAATCTGAAGAACACACCTGTCTGCATTAATTGACTTTTAAAGTAACCTGGACTCTATTTTCGACGCTTAATGATCTAAAACTTTCGAATAAGTGAGTCATTAAGTGCACAAGCATCTTCCATTGATTAACGATATTTATAATACAGAATTATAGATATTTTGATTGTTGATGTCATTGCCTTGTCATTCATTCTATGTAATATAAATAATTAGTTTATGATGTTCTAGGAATCTTAAAGTAATTGTTCCTGCAAAATACTAATTTGTCAACTTCAACAATTTATTGTTTCCTTTAAACTTTCATAAAGAACGTTTCAACCGAAACGATTTAGAGATTAACAAAAGATAAAATTAACAAAGACTCTGGCGCTTGAAATCTTAAGCGTTTATTTCATCATCTTAAAGATGTATACAGTGTTCTTGTAAGTACTACGGAATGGATAAAAAGTTTCTACTGAACAAAGTACGCAAACAGACGGTATTTGCAAATCGTTAGTACGATGGCCCGGCTCGAGGTAAGGGTTGAAAGTTCGCGATGCACCTTGCAGGTGGACTACAAAGCCAAATATACACATAACGAGTTTCATCGTTGTATATTATGTTGTCCATGTCGACATTATAATCTAAATATGGTTATTTTATCACAGCAATATTCGTAATGGAATAATTCAATAAATTTTCAATTTAAGCAAAATCTCCAACCAGTGCCTCTTAATATGAAAAATGTACGTTCAAAGTCACGTAGAATTGGATATAACAAATACTGTGTCTTACAACGTATTACTAATTGATTTATAGGAAAATAAGACGCAATTACTTACCGTTAAAATCATTTGCTTCGTAAAATCAAGATGCAGATAGTAATACTTAACAATCTAGTTTTAGACAGGCCTAATCGTAAAATCATAAATCACGGCTCTGCTTAGACTTTAAACGGAAAACTAACAACTAAAGGACGTCACGAGACGATTAAGACTTTTTTGCGAGATCCAGATCAAACTTGCTTTGTCTCGAAAAAAAAAAAGAAATCTTGCTATTTAAATAGAAAAATGGGTGGTATTCCAAATTTTATTTGACTACTTAAATAACAAGTTGTCTCCGTGAAACGAAGTCTAACGGAATCGTAATATTGATAATAAATATTAATGATCATAAATTATTAGTATACATTAATATTTGGTTAATGGAATAATTATCAACCATTTTGTTGCCGTGCGCAAATGAACAGAAATGTCTATAATGGATGCATAATTCAGAATTCCAATGGTTTACTTTCAATCTATATTTTTTTGTCTCATGAGCATGTAGGTACTACGAAATTTGAGGTTTCGATAGTTTCGTTTCACGTGATCAAGAACTATAAGAATTTCACAATGATAATTTACCGTGGAGATTGTGTCAACCCATTCACTGATACCGTACAGAACGTGATTTGCTCAATCTATGTTATTCACGTGTCTGCCCTTATTCTTGGCTCTAAATCATTTTCCAATGGCAATAAAAAAAAATAAATAGCTTTCCAAAAGCACCTTCGAAATTTACAACTTTCCTATTTGCTTATAAATCAAGGGCAAATGGCTCAATGATTTTGGTTTCAATTAAAAAAAGAATGTAATTATTTTTACTTTTTTTTCTACCAAAGTTACAGGCAAATATGAGTAGGTTCGATTACTTGCTTTTTGGTAAAATACGAAGGTTTTTTATTGTATACAAATGTTAAAAATTTACTTTTTAATTGTTGCATTCTATATACTCACACATATTCAGTGTCACGATAAAACAACAAATACGCAAATTGCGTTATTAATCTAAATATGACACCATAGAAAAGCGATACCGGTGATTGTTACTTATTAATCCTCCGTTTCACCTTTGTTCCATTCTTTGTGGTAGCCAACGAAAAATCTCACAACGTCTAATAAATTGATTAATCAGATTTCAAAAGACAATATTAATCCTTTCGTTCTAATCTCTTGTAAAACGTCGTTTATCAATTGTTTAATCAAGATATTGAAAGACTTTCGAATGAAGTATATTTTTTCAAATTCACCTCAAGGTCTTGACTTGAACATATTTGAATGCACCTTAACACGTGGTACATGGTGCAATAAAATTCAGTGTACATCTTGTCTAGCAAAAAATACCCTTGACCTAAACAAAAATTCGGAAGAAATGATTGTTAAAAAAAATGTTCTATGCACGATACTCCGTTTCTGAAATCATCCAACTTATGTTTGAAACATTTCTCATTAAATATAATGAACATATTTAGGTGTTCGTTTTTAAATAATACATTTTGTATAAAACGGGTGAAATTTCTTAATCCGTGGATTAACAAGAAGAGTCCAAAACGTTCAACGCAGATAGTATTTCATTATACCCGTCAGTGTCACGTAGCGACAAGGTATCTGACAGACTTTCAAGAATTGATCTGAATTTAATCCTTAAAATCAGAGTCTTAAGATCCAAAAGGGATTTCGATCAGAGATAAAGGGGAACCACCTTTGCGCAACTGATTGTACACGTCGATAATAAATCGGTCTCGAGTAAAGAAACGCTTATTTTACTCGCATGAAAAGGTAGCCTAATACCTTTCCTAATATGGGACCTCAGCCTATCTCCGTTACAAAGAAGTCATGAACGTCGCAAACAATTTTAAAAAATGCACTACATGTAAACACGTAAAAAGTGATAGTTCAACTGATGAGTTGTGAAGAAGACATTGTTCTAAACAATGAAAGTGATGAAGAAAATTATGATGTAAAATGCTTATTTTGTACATGACTTTATTCTTCAAATGTACATGGTGAACAATGGGTTCAGTGTATCAAATGTTACCGGTGGGCCCATGAACACTGCTGTGCAGACGCAATTAATTCTATATTATATAATTTCTATATAATACGTTTTGAAAAGATGAAACCTGGGTCTCATATTAGGCGACCAGTTTTTAAATTCATGGTTTCGCATACTTTTCATTTTTATTTTATTATGATGGAACTCTATCTGTTTCGTTATAATTTCTAATATGTTGTAAATGTGTACACATTTTACATTTAAAACGTGTATCGTATTTCCATGAAAGTATTTTCGATCGAAAATTATGCGTGCTTAAAACAATGACTCTCATATTCTGCTACTGTACTCTACGAACCAGTCGCAGATCCCAGTGGTGGTTTTCATCGGACACATAATATCTAACGTCAACAGCCCAGCCACGTCGTGGTAGGACTAATAAGAATTGCGGTGGCAAGTAATTTCGTTCATTGTGTATTCTGCAAATGAATATATCCCGGGCGTTCCTGGTAATTCTGTCGGAGGATCCACGAGAGAAAGGGGGGGATTTCGTCGGTCCCTAAGGATCAGAGGAGGAAGGCGATTGCGAATAACAAGGAACCCTTCGTCTGCCACGAGTCTTGATCCTGTTAACGGGATCATCCGAGCCGCCACTGATAGAACCAAAGACCGTGAGATAAAACCCACCGCTCCCTTGGACTTCTCTGTGGCTGTTATTTCGAGGTCACTGGATCAATCGAAATGAAACCGCGTATTTCTTTATGACTACTGGCTTTCCGCATCCTTCTCTTACGATTTTCGTTACAAATATCGTTGTTTCATTAAATAAATTGTTAGAAATGATTATAATCTTTGCAACGTTCGTTCTACTTCGATAAAGCTTTGAGTATCATTTTTTTTTGTAATGGCAATATTTCTCTTCATGTTGTATACTTTAATAAGATTTAAAATTTTGAATAATATAAACGGGACATCGGGCTTTTTTAAACTTTGTAAAATATTAGGTGAATGTAAATGTTTTGATGGGTTTGCTCTAGAACTCCAGATTAATGATAATTTTAATTATAGTTTAATAATAATTTAATGAAATTCATAATAATTCTTTTATAACATATGTATTTTCAATAGAATTTTTCATTTTAGTGAACAAATTTTGAAATATTATTATTTATTGAATTTATATAAATAAATTGTATTGATAAATTTACAGTATATCACAGTGTAGGATTAACATACAGCTTCTCCAAACACGTCAGCAGTAATATCTTTCATTTTGAAACTTTTTCTTCGAAAGCTCAATGTCAATTATATTTTAAACAATAAAACAATAAACAATCGTATCAATTTTTGTTTTAAACAATGGATAGTGTTACACTCACATGATCACATAATATCCTAACATATTTGTTTATTGATTCCAGAAAACCATGATTATATCATCTGTAGAAAATCCATCGAAACATTTACACTGACCCAATAGTATTAAATCTTCACATTCTACTGTTACTTAATAGGTATTTTATATGTTTCTTAATATTTCAACAAAGATGATGCAATAAGGTGACTTTCCAGAATATTGGTAATGGACAATTGAACGTCGAGTTTTACGTCGTTCATGATATTTATGTTTTATAGTGTAAAGTAAAACAAAATTATAACAGATTTGAATACTGCAGCACGTTAGTGTTTATC